AAAACTCAAAAAAAATTAACAAATTCAGCTTCAGTACCTCCAACTCCATCAAATTCTTTCCCTGTTTAAAAATGCTATCATGATGGTTTGTCATTTTAAGATTGTTTTGCAGCTGTTGGAATTTTAGTGATTTTTTATTGTTTAATTGTACTACTTGATTATTTTATGCTTATAGTTCGCTATCTCAGGCAAGTTTTTTTTCCTTTTTTTGGAGAGGCATGACAGAAAATTTCTAAGTGAATAAATAAAATTATGAATTAATGGAAGATCAAAATCAAAGTGGGCATATAGTGTTTTCCTACCATTAAAACACTTCTCTCTTTTTTTGTTCCCCAGTATTTATTTATTCAGCAAATCTGTTCTTTTTGAACATGTCTCACTAACCTGTTAGTGTTTTTTGAGGGAGTGAACAAACATGTGGACAAGGGGGACCCAATAGATGTTGTTTACCTTGACTTCTAGAAAGCTTTTGATAAAGTTCCTCATCAAAGGCTCCTAAGTAAGCTCAATAGTCACGGGTTATAAGGACAAGTCCTCTTGTGGATCAAAAACTGGCTAATTAATAGGAAACAAAGAGTGAGTATAAATGGGAAATTTTCTCAGTGGAGGGTGGTAAGCAGTGGGGTACCACAGGGATCAGTACTCAGTCCAAAGCTTTTTAATTTGTTTATTAATGATTTGGAGTTGGAAGTAAGCAGTGAGGTGGCTAAATTTGCAGATGACACGAAATTGTTCAGGGTAGTGAGAACCAGGGAAGACTGTGAGGCACTTCAAAGGGATCTGTCAGGATGGGCAAGTGGGTGTCAATGTGGCAAATGGGGTTGAATGTGGCCAAGTGCAAAGTGATGCACATTGGAGCTAAAAATCCTAAATACAAATACACATTGATGGGGTCCGAACTGACAGAGACTGACCAAGAGAGAGATCTTGGAGTCATAGTAGATAACTCAATGAAAATATCTGGACAGTGTGCGACTGCAATAAAAAAGACCAACACTATGCTGGGGATTATTAGGAAGGGAATTGAAAATAAATCAGCCAGTATCATAATGCCCCTGTATAAATCAATGGTG